GATATGTAAAATCTTTACACTTCGCCTTCTAGAACTTCAAAGCTGTTTCCGGCCATTTCAGATGATGTGGGTTTGGCTCTTGTGTCAGTTTCATCTATTGTTGTGAAGGAACGTAAGTCTGCCCTTAGGAATGGAAAAAGAAAGGACCAGCCATTAAGGCAGGGCTTTTCAACCTTTTCACCCATTGTACCACTTTTAGGATATGGCAACATCCGAGTACCACCAGTCGCCTAGCAAGGTGTCAAAAACTTGATGACCCCCCCCCAAAAAAGGGAAAAAAGTGATAAAGTACAGGTAGTCCTTGACTTACAACAGTTCGCTTAATGACTGTTTGAAGTTACAATGGCACTGAAAAAAGTGCCTCCCAAGCCACAGCCGAGCAAGACACCTGCCTGCCCGCCCAGCTGCGCTCTTCCTCCTGTCCAAGGTTTTCATGGTTGTGAGCATTTCTGTTGAGGATTGGCAGTGGGGGAGGGGTGTTTGGTTTTTATTCCCCCCGTCTGCTGGGTGGTTGCAGCAGGTTTTGGTCACTTCATATGACCCTTGGACACTGTGACCGTCATAAATATGAATCAGTTGCCAAGCATCTGAATGTAAATCACAAGACCCTGGAGATGCTGCAACATTCCAGCTGATCGGCGCTTCTTCTGGGCTCAGCAGAAGCGCCAGGATCAGTGCTCCTTTCCAGCTGGAGCCTGGCGCTGATCCTGGTGCTTCTGCTGAGCCCTGACAGCCCTGAAGAAGCACCGATCAGCTGGAAAGCGGCACTGATCCTGGTGCTTCCACTGAGCCCTGACAGCCTTGCAGCTCCAGCCGTCTCTCGCTCAGGCTTGCGCAGCGCTGCCACCGGTTTAGCTCATTCCCCTCCCCCGCTACTTTTCTAGGATGGCCGTGTACCACCTGCCAGGTGCCAATGTACCACAGGTGGTACCCGTAACACTGGTTGAAAAGCCCTGCATTAAGGTAGCACTTCCAGAAAAGACTACTCAGTCCTGAGGAAAGTGAGAAGGAAACCCAAAATAACCCCACCTTGATTTTCTTCAGCATAGGATGGGACAGAGAGAAATCCTGAATAGCTTTCAAGATTCTGTTATTTTAGTTTAACAATAAAGAGGATTCCTGGATTCCTGCCATGCCTCTGTTTCTTGACCTTGCCAACTTGAAAGGCTGATTGGTGTCATTCTGTTCTGGTCTCTGTCAAGAACTGTGCTCTACTAGTGATCTTTTAGAATTGCATAGTTGCTCTGGGGCAGTATCGTAGGTATTTTATTCAATTGCTCTCACTGATTTAATGAAAGGTTGAAATAAAAATATTTCTCTGCTTTGAAAAGGTGGATCATACTGTATACTATTCTGATAGCATCTTGCAACTGCTAAGCACCAGGATCTGGCTATCTCCTAAACTTAATGCACTGTACAGTGTGCAGGATAGTGAATTCAATTCCCAATAAAGGGTTAGAACCCCATGGAATAACATCTGGTTACTCATGGCTAATGAGTTTTAACACAGTAGGACAGACATGGATGTAGTGTCTCTTGGTGTCAATGTACTGAAATAATGAAGTAATGGAATGATGGGGGGAAACCCCTCTCCCCTCCCACACTGGTTACCTGTATAAAGAGAGCAAATAAAAGGAAGAGAATTTGCTCACTTTGTGATTCCCTTTTTCCAAAAAATCATTTGAGTTACGGTAGTTTGGGTTGCTGGAAAGGAACCTAGGAAGAAATCTAAAGATGATAGCTCTACCCTTTTCCTGCTGTAGCATCTCAATTGGAAGATTTTTCCTGCTGGCTGGAGATAGGAAGGGGGAGGGGAAGGACTGCAAAACCAGAAATCAACAAATCCCTCTATCTTCACATGTGAAATCAAGATAATGCCAATTAGCTACCCATCAAAACAGACTAGATATGGATGAGGACAGCAAATGTATTTCTACTAGTTTATTAGTTCAAGGAAAAGTGAATAGCACTTAGCTAAGACAGTGGGGAAATGCCCCATCTTTCTGTTGTTCTGAAGGAGGCAGTGAATCACACATTAATTTGGGCAAAGTTCAGTTTTCATTTATAGACTAAGATAATTGCATCACACATGGAATGAAAGGTAGAAGAATCAACCATTCCTCCTCTTTTAGGAGGCAGTACATTCAGAAAGAAATCATTATTGCTAATACATGGGTTAATGAAATGTACATAACCTGTTTTTAATTTCAGGTATTGCAATGCATACTGTCGGTGTAATATTGTCAGATCATAATAATTCAGCAGTGTGAAAATTAATTAAAAAATGACAAAGAAAACACAGAACCTTTGACAGGCCACTAGATGGGGGTGGTCTGCTATGAATAAAGAATGCTGTCCCCAAATTTTAGAGTTGATTATGAGAGAGTTCAAAGTAATCCTGGTCACGAGAAGATTTTTAAAATATTTTTAAAATATTTTTTAAAAATGATGACATCATGAATATAGGCTTAAGTATAAGGGAAGGCTTAAGTTTATAGAGAGCAAGATTGTAAACCGTAACACAACACACACACACACACACCTAGAAATAAAAACCCCAATGCAAATTCTGGGTGGTTTTATCTATTGCTACTGTTGTCATTGAATATCCTCAGTTATCCAGCTTGAATTATCTGGAAGTTAAGTCATGGCAACTGAACTTATTTGTTGGTTTGAGACTTTTCGCTGCCCATCCAAGCAGTTTCTTCAGTCTGAACAAGTTGATTTAGGGGAATCTGAGTAGGCCGAGAGTTGTTGGAATGTGCCTAAAATTCTTAGGAGTATTCCTTCACCAACCTCAGGGTTCTCCCCCCTCAAATTGCATGGCAATATGTCAGTGAAGATTCTCAGTCATCCATTGCTAATATCACAAGCCAACAACTTAAAGATATTGCTATTGTTCTGAAGCAAGTTGGGCTACATCTTCTTGTAGATTCCAAGCATTCTTCTGAGGCTGTTGGAGAGATGGAAGTATCCTTCCTCAATGCCCCTCTTTTTTCTTATTCCAGTTTTTATAATTCTTCTGGCAAGAGACACAAGCTGTCCCCATTGCTGCCTTAGCACTAAAGCCATTCAAAAGTATTTAGTGGTATCATCAGAGCAAAGTTTGAACCCTAAAGAATGATTTTGAATTTTAAGTTCATCCACATATCCTGTGACCAGATATTTGTATTCTATTACATTGGTAATAACTAAAGGCTTCAAGCCCTCTTTTCATATGTGTCATGGGGAGGGAAAGCCCTCCTAACGTAAGTGCTTTAAGGTTTTATGTATGCTTACGTTGCCATAGCTTTTATCACTGGGGAACTGTAATTGGCTTTTTTAAAAAGATTTATTAGTGTAGTAAATATTGTAAAAGTTGAGACCTGAAAGAATTAAAGTGACCCTAAATCTGATCTGTCAATCAAAACTAACTTGGCAGTATAAGTAGTGGGCAGAAGGAATAAAACCATGGGAAAATCAAACACAATTCAGCCAATCAGGAGTGGAAAAAAGTCCCCTTTTAGGTAAGCTTTTAAAAAGAGGAAAAAGCAGCTCCATTTTATCTTTGTTTCTTCTTTTCTCTCATGGAAGGAACTGGCTCCAAGCCAAGTAAGCCAATTTCCAAATCCCCAGGCATCTTAGGTGGAAAATTCAAGAAAATTGCAGCAATATAGAGAAGTCTGAAGCTAGATGCATGTTATAATTTTTGATTGTATTTGAACTTTGTGCCTTGATTACACCTTGTCTACTTGTGTGTGTACATCAAGGTGTAACCAAGGCACAAAGCTCAAATACACACAATAAAGAATTGCATTTCTTAGAAAAGGAGCACATTCATTCTGATAGGGATCTTAATCATTCCATCATCATATCCTGTTAATCCTCTCATTCTGATAGACAGAAAGTCCACCCTCACCAAAATTGGCTAACTACTGCACATAAACAGAAGGAAACCCCATGCTCACTTGCACTAACATTACCTAGTTGAGTAATGAAATGTCTCCAAGCAACCAACCAACCACCATGGTCAGATGACCATGGTCATCATTTTGCCTGCTTAGACAGCTACAGAGAAAAGCAGAGCAAGTGGTCTGCCAACTTCCTTCTCCCAAATAAACCAGTGCAAAAACAGATTTCTTCTCTGAAGTAGTAAAATAGATAGTGATAGACGAGCTCAAAAGTTTTCCCTAGAAGTGTGGCAGAGTGCTTATGGGGTCTGGATGGAGATTCCAAGAACTCTTTCAAGGGAGCCAAAGAATCTAGTCCACCAACATTGTGTGTGCACTTGTGTAAGCAAACACTGTTACAAATGTGGTCAAAGAATGTTTTATAATATTTTTCCTGGAGATTCTGGGGGGCTTACTTTTGAAAAGACATGAGAGGATTATACTATAAATTATCACTGGAGCACCTTGATTGCAAGGCTTAATTAGATGATTTATGAAACGCTTTCTATTTTTTGTTTCCTGAGAAGTGATAGCAGCATGTTGATTCAATAATGATTAATCAAAGGAATTAAAGAACAAGAAATGATAATTCTGTTATTGGAAAATATCAAATCTGAAGGAAAAAGCACTTACTTACTGTATGTGATCATTTTTAAGTTTATCCATTTTTTATAATTTGCCATAAAAAACTAAAGCTGTTGAAATTACATAAAATTTACAAAGGGAAGAAATTACAGTGATTTCATTTAGAAATAAAGGAGTTCTGTACTAAATATTTATATGTAATGAGAAAAAGTTATTATCTTGATTAAGCTGAATTTCTGTAGAATATGAATTTCTATAGAATACAGGAAGAAAGTTCCACTATCAAATGTAATGAAACATAGCATGTGAGGGATGTTTGCATATGTTGTGGTAATGTGTATTTTAAAATTTTATCTTTTGATAAGAATATCTGACACTAGTGGCATATTGTAGCAGTTCATTTTTTAAAAAGCTTGATGTTTGTTTTCCTTTATTATGGCAAGCACAGCATGAAATGTGATATGATTGTCTGCTTTTACAACCAATATGGAAAAAAGTGTATCTCATTCAAATATCTTCAGTTATTTTTTCAGCACATATACCTCAGTGCAATTATATCCTACATCACGCATATTGTACTGCATTGACGTTCTTCTAAATCAAAGTACTGTATGTGTGCATTCAATAAATAAATTTATATGTTGGGGAGAACTATCATGTCTGTGTGTGTGTAATGAGAGAGAGAGAGACAGAGACAGAGACAGAGAGAGAGACACACACACAGAGAGAGAGAGAGAGACTTCTGTAATATGCAACATTATGCAACAGGCAAATGAGCAAACCCCATTTTTCCAGCCTTATTCTGTCTTAATTGATTTTATGTAAATCGTGGCTATGTATTTACCAACTGAAGTTTAAAAACCTTCCAATAAAGAATGTTATATATTGTTAATAAACACAAATATTCATGTGTTTTTGTTATAAATATTTTTTTTCTTCCTGCAGTTGATGGTGTGTGTGCATTTAAATGCTTGGTTAATAAAGATACTGAATATTGCCGTGTAGGAAAAGAGTCCATTTTGATAACACTTGGTTACAACAGCACCTTACTACAATTCACGTCACATTCTGGTAAGTGGCTGGATATTATATATATTTGAAGATTTTTGTTTCCTTTGGTCTTATATTTGTTGAGGTCAGCTCTAGGCCTTCATTGTCAAAGATTCTCAGGTGTTAGATCTGTTAGACCAACTTGCTACTCACTATTTGATTGAGGACTGTAAAATGGAAATGTTTCAAATATGCAAAAAAAAAAGACTACAATTATAGTATGGGACTATCTCAGAACTAAATGCTGCTCTGCATTGCACATAACTCTATTTCGGTGGTCGTTCTTCTGTTGCTTAAAAAGCAGCCACAGAAATAGATGGTTAAAACTTTCCCAGTTAGGCTTTGTTCTGATCACGCACATTCCTAAACCGATTGTTAATATCCATGTTAGGAGAGAAATAATACAGGCAACCATTAATGTGATCTGATGGAAAACTAGTTTTAGGATGTTCTGGGTTGAGTTATGGACTATTTTAAAAAGGGTTAACTTTATTCTCCCTTCTCCCTACTGTTTTTTCCAGCTTTACTATAGGTGTTTTCAATGTCAAAACACTGGAAGAGTATTTTATTACATGTGCCATGTAAATATATATTATCATATAAAGCTCAAATACAAAATATTTAAGAGGGAGAGCAATAGGAGAAAGTTTTTAAAATTTTGAAAGCAGATTTAAAGCATTTTCATCATTTGTAAGGCTCATATAATTGCTTCAGAAGCCCAAAGATTGGAGTAGCTTGAAGGTGGAATAGGTGAAAAATATATTCTCAGGTTATATTAATATTAAAAGTATTCAACATACTTTAAGCTCAAATCATGAAATGGTAGCCTTGCCAGAAGCATGAGGCTCTGATAGTTAACCAAGGATGTTGCAATGTCCTTCTGACATTACTAAAAGTGGTCTAACCTGTGAAATGGAGATTTGAATGGTTTGCATTTCTTTCACAGACATAACAGACCATTTCACCAATGGAACATTTTTAATGAAATTAGAATGACCTTGAAGCATTTTTACCTCAAAACATTTTGCCACCCGTGAAATAGGCATCACAATTTTTATAATTTATGTACCCTTCTTTTAAAAAAAATATCATGAGCTATTGGAATTACGATAGTGTTACTCCATTCTGTTTTACTGAAAAAGACAAGCTTGCAACTCTAGAAACTAACAAATTCTTCCTAAATCATCATTCTTGATAATGATGGCAACTTCTTAAGTTGTGTGATAGAACTTCTGCTTTACTTGTAGTGATCTTCTAATATAAACACTCAGACATATAGGCATATGTAGGCATGCACATATACACATAATAAATATTCATGTGCATAAAATATAATAACTGTTTATTTTTCCTAAAAATTCTAACTGGCCAAATTAGTTTTATATGTATATTTTGCTCTTTTGCATTATAAAATAAAATATACAACAATTGAAAAATGCTTTTCAGACATCAAGGTGTAGTATAGTGTAGAAACAGAATAACAGAACTGGAAGAGACCTTGGAGGTCTTCTAGTCCAACCCCTTGCTTAAGCAGGAGACCCTATACCAGTGGTGGCGAACCTATGGCACGCGTGCCAGAGGCGGCACTCAGAGCCCTCTCTGTGGGCACATGCGCCGTCGCCCCAGCCCCGCCTCCCCCCACAGCCTCTTCCTTACTAGCAGCCCCCCCCAGAGGAGAGTCATCCCCGGGCACTGCCCATGTGGAGCAGCGCAGCCAAGGACATGGCAGCTGGGCAGCAGGGACAAGAATCCGTCCTCGCACCCCCTCACGCGCAGAGGGCATGGCTGTCATGGCGCTGCAGGGCTGCCTGGGTGATCTGCTGCGGTGGGCCGTGTAGGTAGTGGTGGCCCTGCGGGCGGGTGGGGTGGGGCACAGTAGGCAGGGTGGCGGGGTGGCACTCGGTCTCTAAAAGGTTCGCCATCACTGCCCTATACCATTTTAGACAAACGGCTGTCCAATCTCTTCTTTAAAAAACCTGCAGCGATGGGACAGCCACAACTGTTGAGATACCGCTTATTCTATAGCATAGCACAGCACAGCACAGCAGAAATGTCAAAACTATTTTATGAAACTAGAAGAAACTTTGGAAAAAAAACAAAATTGGGAACAAAGACGTGTACCTTTTACCTAAATCAGTAGTTCTCATTGTCTTGTTATACAGAGTTCTTCCGTTACATTTAATCATTTGGTAATTATAGTTAGGTAGATTCAAAATATGGTGATATTAATGCCTAACTGAAGTCATTTACACACACATACACAGACACAGATGTAGACACAGACACACAAACACCCCCCCCCCAAAAAAAGTTTACAGTCCTCTAATTTTTTTATAATGGAATATTTCTGGTGATTTATTTGAGAATTGCATCACTATGCATTGCTTGAGACTTACTGTGTTTTAAATTTTCCACCTCCTGTTTTTTTTCTCTTTATTTTGACAACTGTTAGTCTGTCCTGAATTCATACAGAGGATTGTTATATTCCAGCATCCGGTTTCTACCATTTAGACAGCAGTAAATCATACGTAGCATTTTCTGCTTCCTGTGTAACATGTGTGCAACATCTGAATAGCGTCAAACTGCTGGCCATAAAATAGATTTTTAGTGTGTCGAATGTGTAAGAGTTAGGTTTTTTGCAAAGTAAAGCTATCCATCTAGATCAATTTAAGCAATAAAGTGCAGCCTACCTTCTACTAACAATATACTTTCCCACAATAGTCTAAATGTTCAGCAAGAAAACCAATTTCTGTGTTAATGCTGGCTTCAGAAATTTTATGGAAATAAATATAAATGTGCAGATGGAACTATACATTTATCTTGCCTTGGTAGCCAGTGGTTATTGATGGATGTTACTTATTTTCTTCTGAAGAATTTTTTTTAACTAGTCCTGGCACCAAGAGAAGGGAAGGGAAGGTCAGTTTTGGCTTTTGCACCATATTTAGAGACACATGAGAAGCAGTAAGTTTCTGTTGCTTTCCATTCAGTCCAGTTCAATAATATTTATTTTGTCCATCACTAGCAAAATTTAAAAGAACAAAGCAAGCAAAAACAGGGTGAAGCAAATAAATATAGTAGTACGCTAGGAGCTAGAAAAATAAATCACAGAATATATAACATTCACTTCTCTATTATTGTGTTAATACAGTTGTTGCCCGGGTGATAAGTCTAAAATATTAATAGGTATAAAAATAAAAAAATATTTGCTATTGCTTTCAATAATTCCCTCAGGATTAAGTTATAGAGACGGACTAGAGTGAATAACCGAAAAGAGGGTACACACATTGGTAGATGACAGGAAACGTCTCTCCTTTCTTGATCACGCCCTTAGGACTCCCTTGATGGAACTTCTGATTATGGGTTACCTAATACTTCCTGCTACCCATACCACTTTCCCAGAGGAAGAAAATGCCTTGGCTCAGCTTCTGCCCTCTTATGCCACCTGAGGGCCAGTAGGTTCTTTAAGATTCAGAGACATACAGGTAATCCTTGTTTAGCAACTGCCTCATTTAGCAAACATTCGCAATTACGTCAGTGATGAAAAAGTAACTTTATGACTGATCTTTGCCTTTACCACCTTCACAGATTTCTAAAGCAAAGGTAGATCATAATAAGCCCAGCTGTAGTTTCACTTAGGACCACTTCACTTAATGGCTAAGTTGCCAGTCCCAATTGTGGTTGTTAAATGAGGATTATCTGTAGGTCAAACTATGGTGAAATGCCAAAAAGGATTTTCTTGAATATATATTAAGAGAGTTAGTTATCAAGGAAAAAAATATATACTAACTCATGTCTTTCCAACTTGCTAGGAGCTCCAGAAATTGCACCAGGCAGACTTTCTGGAGCCAGCACCAGAACTTTGGGTCTGCTCAGCGGTGCAAACGATCTGGAGACTTTTGCCACTTTTTTGTCACTTTTCTTTAGCTATAAGGAGTATAAAACACCTGGTTTGATGGTACCTTGTATCAGTGCCTCAGTGAAGTTCAGACAGTTGACCTTCTGCTACAGATATTTTAAATAAGCCATTGTCTCTAGAGACAACACCTCAGGATGTTGGGAAAAAAATAACACCGCTTGTCAATACAGGTAGTCCTCGACTTATGGCCAAAATTGAGCCCAAAATTTCTGTTGCTAAGCAAGAGGGTTGTTAAGTTAATTTTGCCCCGTTTTACCACCTTTCTTTCCACAGTTGTTAAGTAAATCACTGCAGTTGTTAAGTTAGTAGCATGGTTGTTAAGTGAATCTGGCTTCCCCATTGACTTTGTTTGTCAGAAGGTTGCAGATAGCGATCACATGACCCTGGGATGGACCAACTACATGCCAAGTGTCCAAATTCTGATCGCGTGACCATGGGGATGCTGCAATGGTCATCAGTGTGAAAAACGGTCATAAGCCTGTTTTTTTCGGTCCCATTGTCACGTCGAACATTCACTAATTGAATGGTTGAAAGCCGAGGACTACCTGTAGGTTAAAAATTGAAACAGTTGAATATTTTAATGGGAAACATGGCTTCTAGCTGCAATGATTGTTGCTCCTCCTCCTATTAGTGCCTGGAGTAGATATATCTGCTTCCTCCTAGGCCAGTGTTTCTCAACCTTGACAATTTTAAGGCATGTGGACTTCTACTCCCAGAATTCCACAGCCAGCATTGCTGGCTGTGGAATTCTGGGAGTTGAAGTCCACATGCCTTAAAATTGTCAAGGTTGAGAAACACTGTCTAGGCCCTCTTATGGTTTTTGAGCTGTACGAAAATGTGGCAAAATATCATTTCATTAATTGAAACCAGCAGTTAAAGCTATTGTAAGGGCGGAATTGTGTAGAAAAGAGCAGACAATATAATTTCTATCTACAGCTCTGACATATTTTACTAGAATTTAGAATTATATTTTGTGCAGAATAAAGATCAACGTGGTAATAATTCAGTTACATTTGTGTTGCCTGCCTGCTTTGGTTTTGCATGTAATGTGCATGTAGTCTAACTTTATTCTTTCTTTTTCAGAATATAACATGTTTTCAAATGCCCTGAAAAGCTGTAGGAAGATAAATAAGGAACATTCTGTATTCAGTCAGAGAACAGAAGACTCCTCTGCAGCTCAGTATTTTCAGGTAGACAGCTGTTGTTTCCTAATCCTACTAGCAATATATTCAGTATTTCCCAGGGGGATTAAGATAACCTGTTGCAGAAAAAAAACACCATTCTTGTAACAACAGAAAAGACTAACACATGCTATAAGATTATGTCGTAATCATTTTTTTATAAAGTGTTCAGTGGCTATGATTTTTTCATCACCAATATTTCCCAGATTTATTGCAATTTAGGGCACTATCTTGGGTTTCTGCAGGAAAGACTTTATTCTTATTTTGTACATTGCTATGGGCAAATTGTAGCAATTACATTTCTCCTCTTTTCCTTCTAGTTTTATGGATGCTTATCTCAACAACAGAATATGATGCAGGATTTTGTAAGGACGGCTACATATCACAGAGCAATACTTCAGAACCATACAGATTTTAAGGATAAGGTAAGCCTTATCTTTCTGCTCAGTTTCAAATATCTATACCTATTTTCTTACAAAGTTGGCCATAATATTAGATCGGCCAGATGACTGATGGAGCTGATTGGATACAGAAGGAGCTTGGCATTGTTGCAGAAGGTCTGCAACGCAGTTGGCCAAAATCTTGGTGAAATGGAAGAGTGGCTGCAACTTCTGTGCCCTGGAACTCTCCATGGTTTATGCATGAGCGAAGGCAGATGAAGAGGATGAAGAGGTGCCTAGTGCACTGCTGGTGAATGACAAAAAGTGAGGATGCTCAAGCACAAGCTAGAGCCACTCTTAGAGCCTTTTGCATGGCGACAAGGGCCCCACTCTTATTGTGTCTGCAGATAGCTGCCCAGCTGTTTTGGGTTACCTGGTCCCTCCTTGGAGGGAGCAATTCTGGAATTCACCTGCAGGCTGACTAGGAAATGCACAGCACATTTGGTGCAGCTGCCTCAGGCTGCCTGAGTGATTCTGTGGATGTCCTGTCCCAGTACCTGGGGGCTTTAGGGGCCTGAATTCATCACAGTGAGCATTGGCTCAATCCTAGCAAATCTGAACGGTTTTGGGCATTTGGGCCTTCCAGTCTCCGTCTTTAGTTCTGGGTGGAGTGGCACTATCCCACAGGATGCCAGTGCACAATCTGGGAGGGGGGACTTGGATTCATGACTCCTGCTGTAAAAGCAGATGGCAGCTGTGGCTAAGAGGGTTTTTGCACATCTTTGCATTTTGTACCAGTTGTGCCCATTCCTGGACCAGAAGGCTTTGCTCGTTGTCACTTGTGTCCTCTTGACTTGTCCAAGTACCCAGTATGAATTACTGCAACATGCTCTACATTGGGGGGTGGGGTGTCCTTGAAGAGCATTCTGAAGCTTCAGCTGGTGCAGAATGCAACTGAATCAGTAGTAAATGGTGTCAGTTACTCAACACATGTAACATCACTGCTTTGTGAGCTGCATTGGTTGCCAGTGTGTTTCCGAGTGCAATTCAAGGTGCTGGTTATCACATCAAAGCCTCTTGGGACCAGGTTATCTGAGGGACCAATTTCTCCCAGTTGTTTCTGCCCATCTGATTCAGTCTAGCTGGGTGGGCCTGCTACAGGACCTGTGAGCCAAGGATTATTGGCTGGTGGGGACTGGGAAGCATGCCTTGCCTGCTGTGGTGCCTGCCCTCAAGGACATTCTCCCTCCAGAGACTAGGATGGCACCAACCCTGCTTCATCACACCTTGAAGACTTGGTTATGTGGCCATGCCTGGGGTCCTAGGTGTGTGAAGGGTCCCATTTTCTGGTCATTTTAACATCTGGTCATTCCTGTCACTTGATATTAACAACATAATTTTTCTTGATTGCTGTATGTACTTATTTCTTGTATTGCATTTTAATTGGTTTAAACACCACTTAGCTAGGTTCTTTTCAGTTTTATTGTTAAGGCTGTGCATTTGTCTGGGAGAAACAAAGTGGCATTGCCTTGTATTTTTTTTTGCACAAAAGAGTTTAGTGGCTTTCTGACCTCTTAGAAAAAGTCCAAAACCATAATAGCTAAATTTGTGTCTGTACATTAAATCAGTTAGAGCTGTGAGATCCTTGCCATGGCACACTGATGTGAGACTTTTTCATTATAGAAACAATGTGGATTGAATGGATTGAATTCCTCCCATCAAAAAGGAAAAGAATTTTCAAACAACTACAGAAATTAAACATTGATATAATTTGTTTGCAAGAGACACACATAAAAAAACAATACCATAAATGTTTGGAAAATCCAAAACTTGGAAAACTTTATTATACATCAGCTCAACAAAAAAAAGAGGAGTAGTTATATATGTCAAAGAGACAATAGATTCCAAAATGATTCATGCAGATGAAGGAAGAATATTAATGGTAGAAATATTTTTAAATCAAAAACAGATACTTTTGATAGTAATATATGCACCAAATAATAAACAAGAAGAATTTTATCAAAACCTTCACAGAAAAATAGTAGAAATGGAATATCAAAATATATACTTAGTTGGGGATTTCAATGAAATAGTAGACGGGACATTAGACTATAAAAGCAGTAAATCAGGGAAACAAGAAAGAAAAAGATTACCTAAGATTTTTTTCAATATGATAGAGGAAATTGGTATACAAGATATTTGGAGAGAAATGAACCCAGGAAAATCACAATTCACATTTTATTCTAATAGTCATAAATCTTGGTCCAGAATTGATATGATTTGGATGACACCTGAATTAAGGGTTAATATGCAGGAAATTGAAATAGAATTAGGTACTTGGGCAGATCATAACCCCTTAAAAATGGTGTAGAAAGGAATGCAGAAAAAATCAAGATGGACTTTGAATCAATCTATATTAAAAAAGAAAGAATTTATAGACTTAGCAACAAAAGAAATGGAATTTTTCTTCAAAGAAAGTAAAAAAGAAGATACAACATTACAAAATGTATGGGATAGAACCGAAGCATATTTTCAAGGCATAGCGATAACATACATGGCGAAAAAAAATAAAGAAAAGAGACAACAATGTCAGTTGTTAAGAGAAGAATTTAAAAAATTAGAACTTGAACTACAAATATACCCAAAAAAGAAAATATTGAAAAGACAAATGGAAATAATAAATATAAATTAAATTTAATAGAATCAGAAAAATTGACACAACAAATTAAAAGGGCAAAGCAAAACTTTTTTGAAAATGCAAACAAACCAGGAAGATGGTTAGCTTATAAACTTAAAAAACAGGAAAAAAATTGATAAACAATTTAGTAGATGAAAAAGGCTGTTTACAATTTTAAAATGAAGCAATAAAAAAGATAATTAAAGAATACTATGAGAAACTGTATGACAAGGAAGAAACTCCATGGGAGAAAATGACTCAATATATGGAAGAAAATAATTTACCCAAAATTCCAGAAAACTTTAAGACTATGTTAAATGAAAAAATAACAGTGATGGAATTGACAGAGGCAATAAAAAGATAAAAACATGAGTTTTATAAATGTTTACAAGATATATTAAGTTCACCATTGAAAAATGTATGTAATGAATTTCTATTGGAGGCAAAACTTCCAAATACATGGACAGAAGCTAATGTTACTTTGATACCAAAAGAGGACTCAGATCTGACCCAGATCAAAAACTATAGACCGATATCACTACTGAATGTGGACTATAAAATCTTCACTTCAATAATAGCTGAGAGGATGAAAAGATTTTTGATTGAATTTATACACCCAGATCAAAATGGATTTTTGCCAAAGGGAAAAATAACAAATAATTTGAGGGTAATACTAGTTACATTGGAATATTATGAACTTCATCCAGGGAAACAACTGGCACTAGTATTTTTAGACGCCCCAAAGGCATTTGATAATGTTTCTTGGCAATTTATGATTCAACAACTAAAAACAATGGACTTTGGTCAAAACTTTATAAATACGATATAAAAAAATATATCAGAAACAATCAGCAAAAGTAGTTGTAAATGGGGATTACACAGAGAATTTTTATATACGAAAAGGCACAAGACAAGGATGTCCATTATCCCCATTGCTATTTATCTTAACTTTGGAAGTTTTAAATAGAAACATTAGGCAAGATCCAGAAATTAAAGGATTGAAAATAAAAGATGACACCTACAAACTGCAAGCATTTGCAGATGATTTGATATGCACTCTAGAGCAGCGGTTCTCAACCTGTGGGTCGCGACCCCATTTGGGGTCGCACGACCATTTCACAGGGGTCGCCAAACAACGCCGTCCGCCATTTTTTTTTACCCTTTTCCTTAGCTGTGCTACTCCCTCTGCTTGGCGGCAGCCTGCATGCAGGAACTTTACCAAACATGCCCTGCAGGAGGCGTGTGAAGAGCGCAGGCG